ATTTTTTATTATGATTTACAATCATAAGTTATGGTTCATAAATTATGTAATCAATTACCAATCTTCAATGATCTGAAGTTAAGTGAAGAGTTAAGTCTAGTTTGAAGATTTTCATTTGATTAAAAAAAAAAAAAAACTTCATTTCGATTAGGTGTATTTTGCTTTTATTTTATAATGTTCTATAGATCATTTAATAGTAGAGTATACAATAAAGTATAGTGAATAGGCAAGTCTGGCCTGGAAAATGGAGAGTTTAGTAGTTTTGACAATCAAAACAAATGTAAAAGTTGCTCCACGAGATGGTAAGTTTTTACAAAAGAATGTGGGATCTATTCAATTAATTTTTTTATTATTTCAAGAATTGAAGTTTCTACCTAGCTTAATTAAAATAATATCAGAATGTAGTGTTTCTGCATAAGTTCCAATTCTTATTCAATTTCAGTTTTTTAAATTATTTATCAACTTCATAAATTAATATTACTTTAATTGGCTAACTAACAGTATGTTCTCATATATTTAAAAAAGCTTGCTACAACGCAAGCAATCATCGTTAGGATACAATTTTATTCCTTTTCAATATTGTTTATGCATGAAAGCCTTAAACAACAATTCGTAGCTTCAAATTCTTATGAATGAATCCTTATATTTGTATTAATATTTATAAAAATTAGAAAAGAAAGTTTGTTCGCGTAATATATGTATAATAACCATTCCATTATATATACATATATTGGTTCACGATTCTAAACTTTTTGTACAAATTTTATTATTCTTTGAATAGATTTAATTCAAGTGTATTTTTCTTCTTTTAATTTAAGTTATAATTTATCGATTATTTAATTCTATTTATTTCTGAAGTAAAAAATTAAATTTCTTTAACAAAGAAAAGTTTATAATTATCTTCAGATTTCTTTAATTTAGGTTTCATTGTTGTCTTCATATTATTTGTGAAATTGCCAATTTTGTAATAGTATCTTCAAAAATGTTATAAATATACTTTGTACACTTATAACATTTTGAAAAATACTACTGACAATATTAACATATCGTTATGTTATGAATAACTATAATAATTTACGTGAGATTTAAAATATGGAATATTTAAAATTTAAAATATTTTATTTTATTTTGCACTTTCCATAAGATAAATTAGTAACAAAATTCATTTAAATTAATAATTGTAACACTAAATTAACATGAACACGATCTCCACAATTGCTGAACGATGCCAAGTGTTAATCAAATTATGATCAAAATTTAAGAAAAAAACGTTATTTTGTAAAAAGTAATTTAAGATAGTTACAATACAATAACAATAATAAATAACAGTAATAAAAAACATAATTATTGAAAATACTATGATCTTAAAATAGTTGAGTTATAAATGAATGTAGTGATTTATGCAAGATTATAAATGACTGTAGTAATTTATGTAAAATACAAAATAAAATTAGATATTCTCCATGTAAAGGAGTATCTACTAAAACTCAAATAAATTAAAAATTCTAAAATTTAGTAATTTAACGCTAAATTAATACCTACAATCAAGCATTAATCGAACTACGATTTCAATTTAAAAAAAAATTTTTTTTTATACGAATAAAAATAATAAATGAGAAATACATAAATTATTTAATTCTGGGTCTAGTAATGAAAGTTTTTTGCAGAATATAATTCTAATACATATTTTAAAATCATTGTAGCATCGTAAGTTTAAATCATAATTTTTAGTCGTAGTGCGTTTAATTATAGCCTGTTCGCCAAGTGAAGGCAAAGCGAGGGAAAAAAAAGGAAGAAAATTATCTTTTTTAATTAAATTATTTTTTTTAAACATTGAGATTTCCCAAGTTCATTAGAGACTCGGTTTAAATAAATCATAGAAAGCTGAATAGCGACGAGTGATCTGCCTTCGAACAATTACAAAATCGCTTCGTCGATAACAAATACTTAGAATACGTCATTATCTATGAGAAAAATGATTTATGACAAAAGAGACTACGGTAATTAATCAGCTTTGCTAATAACAGTATTCCAAAATTTACACTTATTTTTTATAACTTCCTTATCATCTTCAGGATGATAAGATACTATTTTTAAATTGTCATAACTTCATGAACAAAATCGTACGAAAGTCGTACAAAAGGCTTCATATTAAAATATAAAATCTTCACTGTAAAAATCTTGAATTCGTTTCTTTGAAGATGTTCTAATATCTTTTAACAGATATTTTACATCTTTAAGTAAAAACAATTTTGTTCTCGAAAATTGTGAAAATTTAAATGTTTCTAGAATTACTGAAAAAATTTTTTCGTAAGTAGATTTCGGAAGCTGAAATTTCTTCTTTACGAGTTCTTAAAATTTTGCTGTACGAATTTTCTTCGCTATTTTACTGAATTTTATTAATATTATTGTTGAACAAAAATTCAAGAGATCCTAAATTTCATTCTAACTCTAATGTTATTTATAATTTAATGTTAATATTATAACAATTTAAAATGTCACCAATTTTTCATCGAGTATACGTACAATTTTATAAGTGACTCTATTAAGTGTTTCAAATTCCTTCAAACATATAGAATCATATCTTGCAAGAAATATTAGTTGCCTCAATCAAATTCAAAATTAATCAATTTCTACCACTGTGCTTTACCATCTTGTCGATGGTGAATTATATCTAATTTTAACAGTACTTTAAAATTAAAAATAAAAATTAACTACAGAAAAATCTCATTTCAATGATAAAAAAAAAAAAATCACGTCCAAAAAGTTAATAAGTTTTGACGATATTCCGAAGTATATATTTATTTTTTGTAATTTTCCTATATCATCTATATCAGGATATTAAGAAAAACATTTATCAGTCAGGTTTAAAATTGATCAATATTAGTAATTTAGTAATTACAATACCATCTTAGTAATTTAAAATGACAGGGTTACTATAACAATGAATATAATATTTGATTAAAGTAGCATTCTAAATATTAAAAAAAAAAACGATATAATAACGATCACTTAACAACGAATATTTAACTGAACAAAATTATTGACGCTGATCATTTTCGTAATTTTTAAGTTTAAGGAGTTTCGTATAGTTTAGTCGATTGCCAGCACTA